TGAGGGAACAATATGAGGAATACACTGCAAATAATTACTTAATACTCTTAATATATATGTACTAAATCTTAAACATGCTACAGAAATATAATTCTAGAGCTCAGATAAGGTAGGAAAAATTACCCAGTCCTGAAGGCAAGGTGATTTTTTCCAGCCATCCATGAGGTTAAGTGAGCTCTTCTACATTTCATATTGTAAGAAGGTATCTTAAGCTTGATGCATTGGGGATTTGAATACTTGTAACTTGAAGTATTCAAGACATCAAAATTTTCTCTGCTGAGACAATCCAATTATTAGTAACACATAAAATTACCCCACCAAACAACACTACTTGAAACTACTTACAGGTCTTTTATAGGAGTTGAAAATAATGGGTATTTTCTGCTTAACTTTTTTTCTCTCTTCATTTACTCACCAACTCAACACAGATGTACCAACCAGCCACTACATTACAGATTCTGCCATGGAGAGTGACAGTGGGGGACCCTGGGATGTTAACGATCAGTAATCTCAAAGATCTTCACAGGGTTTATTTCACATCTCTTAGACACAGTCTTCAGTAAAGCTATAACTGTATCCCAGACTTCCCCCATCTGACAGTCCCATGGTAAGTTCTTACAGGCTGCTCAACACAGTTAGGGACACCTAAGCTTCCCACTGGGTGGGCAAAAGCCTCAGTTCTTCGAGACGTGGAACTGGCTAGGGAGTTTGGCCACTTGCCTTCCGGCTGTGCTACACTTACCTGGGTGATCTTGTGAATGACACCAACCTTTCTGAACTTTTCCATCTCTAAAATGAACTTTCAGTCAAAATTAGCCCCAAAGTCCATTCTAGGAATTATATTTTGCACTGTCTGGGTCCTTTACTAACCTTCTAGAAATGTGAACTTACTGGACAAATACAAGTCTCCAGAAAACTCACCTTAGGCAATTTACTAGAGGTTAGGAGAAATTCTTGATGACTTTTCATCCTTGCATATGAATTAAGGCTTTAAAAACTATAAAGTTTTCTGATTTGATGGAGTTAACATTTATAGTCTGTTTAAAAGAAGTATGGGGAGATTCTCAGTAATGGGAAAAAAGCACAAGAATGAGTGTTACTCCACAATCTCCGTCTATAAAGATGGAGGAGACCTCTTCCACTGAAGACACAATGCCAGTAGCACCCAGGGAAGACTGCAGCTGCAGACACCCCCACCCTTACCACCCCAGGAGGCTGCATGAAGGAGAGATGCCATATTTTTTTTTTGTTGTTGTTGTTTTCCAGGCAGAACAATGGCAGTGAGCCCTGAGTAAGCAGGGGACCTTGAAAGTCATCATCAGGTGCGTTCTAACACTTTGTAGACGCTCCATCAGTGGGTTCATTGGCGCTCATGCCAACTGAGACATCAGTACTTGTTAATATTTTAGGTGATAGTACTGTGATTAGTTTTTGTTTTATTTACTTCAGTTTGATCTGATGCAGGGTCAGTGACTTCCTGGATTGGGGTACACAGGGCTTCCAGATTGGAGACATTCCAGACTCCAGGGACTCCTCTCAGCTCCTATCCAGAGCCTCATCCCTTAGACAGCATGGGTCCTGAAGTCATGCAGTAGCCTCAGACCAGAAGCTTCTCTCTTGGTACTGAAATGTGCCTAACTCTCCTTCTTACCCTCAGTTTGTCTCATATCTCCAAAAAGGGAAGGGGGACCAACCAGCAAAGCTCTGCTTTAGGACTATGGCTGTAAACTGCAGTGAATTAGAAATCTTTTTTTAAAAAGTTATTATTATTATTATTATTATTATTATTATTATTATTATTATTATTATTTCCTTAGTATTTGGTAACAACTTGTGAGCAGCTGCCCCCAGTCTCCCACTAGACGCCTTAAGTAATGAAAGATCCGTTAGCACAACGCTAAGAGGAAGATTCTCGAAATTCCAAAGGCATTCACTGTCCCCTTAACTCTTCCGAGCCTCTCCTTTTATTCAACAGTTAGAACAGTTCATTTTGCAAACCTCAAGATCAGTCTGTGCTTTCTTTAAATTATGTACATGTGCGGATGTGGAAGCACACAGTAAGATACCTTCCTCCGGGGTTACTTGGAGAAGCAGAGATGAGAAGTCTTAGTCATTCTTTAAGTTGCCATACCAAGGAAGAGGAGCGATTGCTACCCTCTAACTTGAAAAGACTCACACAACACTGTCCCCTTCAGGAGAGCTGGGCTTCATTTTGTAGATGTTCCTAACATAGGACAAAATCACGGGGTTTGATCTGCACAGTGCAGGTCTAAACACTAGAACTGGCAAGATTCCTGTGAGTCTGAAGTGGGCACACCTGAAATCATTTTGGGTTTTTAGAGCCACGCAGCTGTCTCCTGGAGGAGAAGGAAGGCTCACGAGACACACAGTAGAGATGGTTCTTAAGTTATTAGCGGCAGTGCTCTTACTGGCTAGAAAAGAAAATTCAAACAGAAGCCCAATGCAGACCCGTCTGCTCTTCTTTTGCCTCCAAAACTGCATGAATAAGAGGTCATGTTTGATAGCAGGTCGAGACCATTCTGTTCTCTTAGTGGATGTCTATGATACTCTCAGCTTCTCTCTCAGTTCTGGTTGATGTGATTTTCCTGTCCTCTATTCTTTTCTTTTGAAATAAAATAAAGTGACGTATACTTTCTGATAATGCAGGTATTTTATTTATTCACGGATAGAAATCTAAAATGTGTGTTTCCTCAAGTGGGGCAGGCCCTCAAAATCTGAAGGGCACCCTTTGGGTGCCTGTGGTCAAGGAGACACCCGCTCTCCCTTACTTTTAGGGAGTTATCTGTAGCCTGCTGCAGTGGTGTGGGCTGGGTATGGCCACACTCAGAAAGAAGAGCTTGGGTTGTCCTTTGCCATTCTGTGCAGAAGGGGTGATATTAGGATAACTAAATGATCTCTCATCACAGATTTTTCTAAATTCATAAGAAGGAAAGTGCCGTTATATTTGGTACGTACCCTATGGAAAGAATCTCTTTGACTGGTGATGCCTTCTGGGAAAGTTAGGTCATGAACAGTCTAAGATGATCTCACCTATTTAGTTAAGGGGGTTGAACCTCATGGCACACAGGAAGGCAGTTATAGTTAAACTGTTCATAACTAGCCTGCCCAGACTGTGAGAGAGAGCAGAATCAAACCTTCATAGAATAATTATAACCCTCAAATTATAGCTTTAACAAACACTTTAATACAAGCTTTTGCCCCTTAGAGCAGATAACTTCAGTGGTGGAGATTAGTGGAGGAGAACAGTATCTTTTCAAGCTGATGGTGCTGGACAGGAGTCAAGCACCACCTTTAAGGAGAGTTTTCCTGAATGTACCAAATACTTGGCTTGGCCTTGTCTCATACCTTTGTCTTGTCACGGCTGATTACACATGTTAAATATGAAGCAAGCAGACTGCACTATGGCTGGAGATAAAGGTATTTTAATCTACACAGGTCACATTATCTTGGCCAATAGTAATTTCACATCATTTTCTTAAAGGAAACCACACTCTTTGCAATATTTTTCCACTGGAAAAAAAAGTGTAACACGACAGAATGCTCCACATGTAAACTCTTTCACTTGAATAATTGTATTGAATCCCTTTCATCCTAAGCAGTTTTTTTTTAAATACTTTTTGTTATTTCTTTTGATATCTGAAAGATAAAGAGGATGTTTAGAAAGACCTAAGTCATGTGTCTAATTTATTTCAGTTTCTTTAATAGGGAGACCTTTTATATCTGTAGTGAAATTTTCCTTCCTATGTGAAACAACATACAACTAACAGACATGAAAGCGTAAACAGTTCTCTCCCTTTAAGAACCTCAAGGGCTAAAATAGTGGGTTGGTTTCCTGACTGGCAGCCCAGGCTTGCCTCCTCTAAGCACAGCCTTCTGCAGTTCCCCAGATGGAACACTTGAAGAGGGCTTTTCTCCACATGACAGCGCTTCATCCCACAAAACCCACAGAATACGGTGGCAAACTTCATCCCCCAAGAGCCTGCTTCTTACAGAAGTAGCTGTCTGGTTTGTTTCTTCCTCTCACAGGTGCACACCACTCTGGAAGAAGAATAGATCAATTCTCAAACCCACCCACCCACCCACCACCTCCACCACTGTCCTACCCACCCACCCAAGGTCTTTTCTTCCCTGGAGAGCTCTGGGAGAGTCAATCACTCATCAGGCAGATTTTCATTTTCTAGAGGAGGACAGAAGGGATGGTAAGGATGAAAACCTTCATCTGAAGTCTTTCTGGCTGATCCCGCCATACACCAGTCTATTATACATGGAAGAACTGTGTAATCTGGCTTGCATGCTTCTCTGAGAAACATATTGAAACACTTTACGTTTTAGGTGTGCACAGCCGTCACAGAGTTCTCTTACATACTTTCTTAGTCTCAGCACATGTCTCATTTGGAGATGTAGTATCTTGTCCCGGCTTGTAAACTGGGATTAGTTCTTCTTTCCTATCTACCAGCCACCTGATTACTGTCCCCAGGCAAAGGGCACCGGTTCACATCATTTTTTCCAAGCAGTTAAACCTGAAGAGATACTTCTTAAAGGAACCACAGAAGCTGTCTTGGGGGTTTGGAAAAACATCACAAAATCGTCAGCAGACCTTTTGGCTGTGCTATTTTTAGAGAACTAATTGTGCTCCTTTAAAGTGGATTTTTTGACAAGGGGACAGTTTTCCCTACTAGATAATGTGAAATAGTTACTATTGAAAACACAAACACAACACCGCAAACAGATACATTTAACCTCAGCAACAGTCAGACAGACCCGGGAGGCAGGGGATTGGCGGGGGAGGTGACTTAAAAAGAAAATATTTTTTGTAATAGAAATGCTGTTGTTTCTGCCAAAAAGGAATTTTCATTTTACTGTTCAAACAGAAGTTTGTTGTCAAACCAGTTGCTAGTTAGGAAACTCACTGTTCATCCCAGCATCCTTATGAATCAGCTTTAAGTAAGCGTGTTGACCAGAAGCGACTCACTCCGGCTAGCAACCTTCCCTGTAGGTCAGCTGCTCCAAGTAGGCTTATCTTACCTTGAGCACGTAAGATCTGGGAGACAGGGACTCGGGCTCCCACGGAGAGGACCAAGGAAGGGCTCTGATCCTCTGAGCTCTGCGGGTAACTTGCACTTGGCTTTTATGGACAGGTGGGCGGAGCTGCTCCTCACAGTAGGTGGGCAGGGATTGAGCCTGGCGGCGGGCGGCGGGCCCGCTGCCCCCGTGGAGCCGGACACTTGTCTGGGGAGGGGCACAGAGGGTAGAGCCCAGAGCTTGCAGGGGGTTGGCGGGGGGGGGGATGAGGGGGATGCGGGGGGAGCCAGGGACGTGGGAGGGCGGGGACAGGAGTGGAAACAGAGGTTGGAGAGAAGTGAGAAAGGCAGAGACCACAGAAAGGAAAGGTTGGGGAGGCTATGAATGGGGTTGGGGAACTGGGAGCCAAAGTAGCGGTAGAGGAGGAGAGAGACGAGGATCTGATCCTGGAAGATGGGATGGGTACTGGATTGTTTTCCTTGGTATTTTTGGCCGGGAGAGGAACCGTGGGCGACTGTCACCAATTAAGGTGTTCTCCCTGTGATCGGAATGCCAAGTAACGGCCCAAGAGAATTGAAAGGTTCCGAAGAGAGGGAGAGGCGAGGAAGATGGGCGGGGGTCGGGGGCGGTGGGGGAGGGAGTGAGGGGGAGGACTCGGCGTGCCGGATGAGCCCAGACAGAGGTGGGAGGGGATCGGGCCCCGGAGCCCCAGGCGCCCTGCTCCCGGGAGCTGGCTGCTGCAGCCTGGCCCACCCCTCCTCACTACTGCCAGGCTCCTTCCACAGAAAGTTCTAAGTGTGCAGCATCCAGGCCGCTCCCGAGACTGGCGCAGCTGTGAGGTCCATCGGCGGAGACAGCTCCGCACCAGCTCGTCCCTTCAACATCTGCTTATGTAACATAGGATGCCAGGGTTCGCTGTCCTCTGGTTATTTTCAGGATTTTTTTTTTTTTAAACTTTCTTAGCTAGCCATTGGAAAAAAAAAAAAGTCCGGGTGTCATAGCTCTTTCTCTGCTTGTCGTAGGCATTGAGAGGATTTAACCACCAAGTGCGAAGGGTCATGCTGAAGTTATTAAGAAATGTATTCAGAGAAAGAAAAACAAGGTCCTTTCGCTGCTGAGCGGTGACTCACTTCCCAGCCCAAGCTTGATTTTTTTTTTTTTTTTTTTTTTGCCACCAAAGGAATCAGAGCATTTTAAAAGAGACCTTGAAACTTTAGAGATGCGGATATGAGGGAGCAGGGAGAAGAGCGGTCCCATAGAGATAGCCCGGGAGAACCTGCACACACATTCGCGACCGGTGTTCACCCAGATCTCAAGAGGAAGGATCTGTTCCATGCTGCGCTGTTTTCTGTCTGGTTTTCCAGTGAGCTCAAACCAGCAATCGGCTGAGCCCTAGCTAGGGAGTTTAGGAAACCCTTCACTCTTCAATGCCCTGGGAGCTTGTTCGTGGTTCTGAGGACATCTCCAGCGAATTGTAGTGTCCAGTAGTACCCTCCCTCAGCCTCTCCTCACAGGATGCCCCTGGACCACTGACCCTGCCATCTCCTTCCCCAGGTGTGAAAACAAACGGCCTTGGATATAACCAATAAGATTCTGAGGGGCAAAAATTCTCCTCTCCATTAAGAGCCATTGGCCTAGTAAAGGTCCACAGTGTAAGAAAGAATTTTAAAAGAATCTATTAAGAAAATACCGGTGCGTGCCACTGGGATAATAATAATACCTGCTGCCACATGTGCTAAGTTTACACTGGACTTAGGTTTTAACAGACATATCCTCATCTGTCTGCCTGGAGAGCTCAAAGCCTCAACTGGTGATTCCTTTGTAAGAATTCCAAGCTCAGCTCCACTGGACGCGCTCGGAAGTTAACAAGCAGAATCTGATGTGGTTCAGAGAAAGAGCATGGTCAAAGAAGGGTACATGGAATGAAAACAATTTTCATTCTCATCAAGATACAAACTTGACATCCCATCAAATATTTAAGCTCACTCACCAAGTTTGTCACATTGTTTACTTTCCTTACTTAATATTTAGATTTTTTTAGTCCCTGGACCTTCTACAGCTTTATTTTGGAAACTCCTTTGCTGCAACAAGCTATACCTACTGGTTTACTAGCCCGCAAAACATAAATGCTCAATAACCATCACCTGGATTAACTGAATAAATTATGCTAATGAGCACGGTTGTAAGGACAGTGAGCAGTAGCTGTCCATTTAATGAATGAATGAAGAATGAGAAAGCTAAAACTTTCACCAGAACTCCTTTGTCCATTGGGTGCTTAGTTGTTACCTGGCTTTTCTTTCATGATTCAGCTTTTCTCCCTAAACACTGTATCTTTTAAGGATGTGTCCAAGTCCATTAAGTGAAGTCTATGAAATGAATAACCGTTGTTACCAGAACTGGAATTAAGACTACATTAAGTGTTCTGGGGCTGAACCATGAAACCAAATATGATTTTACAGGCATAGCGTCGCCTCTTAAGAGCCTTTAATTTAGTAAGGAAATGTATTCCAAGCAAACAAAAGAGGGACTAGAGGAGGGTCTAGGTGGTAAAAAATGTGCTAGCAAATATTCTCACAGGATTATAGAAAATAATCCTTTAATGCCCCTCACACATTCCAGTTCCATCGAACAGTTGTGAAAATAGGGTGGAGGGGGGACGACGACGACAAGAAAAGCGCATTGGAAGAGAAGGCAATCTACAGCTGCAGACTGGAGTTTTCCTTTTCTGTTTTTCATCCTTTACCCCATTATTTGGAACCTGAACATCCAGCCAACAGAGCAAAGGCACTCCTTTCATTTTGTTTGGATGGTGCCAACGATTAGTTCATTTCTCCAGTTCACACTTGCCCGAATCTGATTCAGTAGCAAATCTGGACAACAAGTTGTGAATCCAGGAATGGATCTCGGTGCAGACTCTCAGAGCTCTTTTCCTAGAATCTCTCCAAATGGACTGAGGCTTGAGATGGGATCCTTGGTGAAAGAAAAGGATCTAAATGCCCTGAAATTGCCATCCAGTGGACATATTAACAGCTACACATGACTACCTCATTTCCAAGTCCTTGGTGAATATAAACCTTTTCTGATGTGTTGTGTGAGGTTTACTTATGATCAATCAAATATATGTATATTTGTATTGTATAGTATATATATGTCATTGATCATAAATATCTTAATAATGGACACCTGGCAGTGTGGGTTATTTAAAGCAAAGGAAAATGGGAGTGTAGGTGTGTTTTAACAGAGGGGAAACGCATGCAGTCCTGGCAGTTGAGTAACAGAGACTTCATGGACAAGACAGCATTTGGGCTGAGCCTTAGCAAGTAGCATATGGATGGGTGGGGTTGAATGGTAGTGCTTTCTAGACAATAGAGGGGTCTTACAATCTGAAAAAGGCATAGAAATATTCAGAACATGCGGAACTAGCTATCAGGATTTTAGAGCAGGGCAGTGTAGTAGAACAATGAGGTTAAACAGTGTAAAGCAGGTGATGAGATCAGTGGGTGAAAGGCCTTAAATGTTACATCATTTGTTTGAACTGCTTTGTAGACCATAAAGAGTCACCGAAGACTTTTGAAGAGTTACCAGGGTTTTATTCTTCTTTGAATACAGGTTCTTTATTGTAACTTTATAGATGAATTCTTACCTATGCATCCTGAGAGAGAGAGAAAACCAAGTATCCGTGTTTACTTATAGCTCTATTTACTTATAGAGCCCTGTGTAGTTGCAAGAAGAGGATAGGTAGGTGAGACTTTTCCAGGGCATAACCAGGACATCGTGCTTATGTAAGGTTAATGTAAGGGTGGTGTCTGTCCCATGTGTCAGAGGAGTCTAACTTCTTTGTCTGTTGTAGCTTGAAGTGACCCTCCAACATGTATGAGGTCCTTTAGTTCTCAAGGATTTCTGCTCGGAAAACAGTGGAATCTAGCCATAAAGCCACATATTCACATCTGCGTTCTCACATAGCTGACTTTCAGTGATGTGTATATATTTCCCTTGGTGAATTTTAAGCTCCGACAACTCCTCCTGTCACTCCGAAGTACTTGAAAATGCAGATGAGGTTGGGTTTTGGTATAAGCTAGAATCCCAGACAGGTGTTTTTACTTGAAGCAAATCTGACAATTTCAAGTACAGTGTGCAGAAATTTACTTTCTGTCTATCATGTGACCTATCGGTCATAAGTCTGTGCTAAGCATCAACAAATGTGAATCTTGTCAGTAAGGCCCTTAAACTTTCAGCTTTCCTAGGTATTTAAGATAGGGTTTTATTTACAAAGATTGAAATGGGTTTACCGCACAGAAGAAAAGCACACTTCTCATTAATTCCTAAAGGCTGCTGGATTTTGTGAGTCACTATTTTCTTGTGGGCTCAGAGAGAAGAGCTGACTGACATGAGAGATCTCACAGATGACCTCTTCAAGTTCCCACTGACTTTGTAAACAGTACCTGATAACAAGATAGAAAATTTGAGGTTCAGGTCCTGCCTTAATACTAACCACCCATGAGAACGTGGTGACAGAGGTTTTATGATGTTTGAAATTATTTTCCATTAGCATGAAACAAAGACGTTTAGCCAGATACCCTCTAAGGTTTCTTTCATCATGTACAAGCATCCTCTGTGCATCTGGTCTGTGGATACCCTACAAACAGAGTGCCCATAATAAGGTCAAGTAACATTCAATGATCCACAGGCTTGATTTTAGGTATTAGAATAGGATTTATAATCCACCATCCCAAGGTTTGCTACAAGGGGATATATCCACGTGATAAACCTCATCTGTGTTGTAAGTTCAGATTCCTAAAAGGTGAAGTTATACCATTTTCATGTAACCAGGAACATTGCCTTTCTGATTGTCACAGCTTGGCAGAAGTCTCCCAGATATAGCCATTAGCCTTTTAACTCTTTTCCTTGGAATCACATGGTACTTCTCCTTCAGTGGAGAGAAATATTACTGCATTCTATATAGACGCCCGTGCTCTGAAAAGTCCCTCCACTGTGCCAGAAGTACTTGATAGCCAAATAAATCTGCTCTATGACTTAAGAAACTATTCTAGTCTCACTGTAAACTCTTCCCTCTTCCCAGTGCTGTATTTTTTTTTATTAATTTGAGTAAGAAAATCATATTGCTCCCCCTTTGTGACAATTAGAGTTAAAACCAAGGTCCTGCACATGTTATGCAAGCTTTCTGCCACTGATTTACATCCTTACCCCCTGATTATCGTTTTCACTTTGGACTAAATTATAGCATAATAAACTACTAGTTTTTTTTTTTTTTTTTTTT